GTGATACCAAATGATTCCCTTGGCATTGTTTGTTGGACTAATTAGTGTCAGCAATGAATGAATGCTGAATTGAGAGAGAGAGAATGTAACTGCGTGTCCAAAGGATATACAGATTTTAACCAACATTTGGTGTAGAAGAGCAAGCTTTCAAAGCTGCAATTTTCTTACTGGTGGTTTTGTTTTTTTGAGACAGTCTTGCTCTTGCTCAGAATGCAGTGGTAGAATCACAGCTCATTGCAGCCTCAACCTCCTGGGCTCAAGCGATCCTCCACTTTAGCCTCCCAAGTAGCTGGAACTACAGGTATGCACGCCCAGCTAATTTTAAAATTTTTGTAGAAACAGAGTCTCCCTGTGTTTCTCAGGCTGTTCTCAAACTCCTGGGCTCAAGCAGTCCTCCTGTCTCTTCCCTAAAATGCTGGGATTATAGGCATGAGACATTGTGCCCTGCAAGGTTGTTTTTGAAAAACAAATACATTTTAAAATAGCAGAGGAGGCTGGGCATGGTGGCTTATGCCTGTAATTCCAGCGCTTTGGGAGGGTGAGGCAGGCAGATCACCTGAGGTCCAGAGTTTGAGACCAGCCTGACCAACTTGGAGAAACCCCATCTCTACTAAAATACACAATTACCCAGGTGTCGTGGCGCATGCCTGTAATTCCAGCTACTCGGGAGGCTGAGGCAGGAGAATCGCTTGAACCAGGAATGTGGAGGTTGCAGTGAGCAGATATCGTGCCATTGCACTCCACCCTGGGCAACAAGAGTGAAACTCAGTCTCAAAAAAAAAAAAAAAAAAAGAAAGCAAAGAATACCAAGAATGGGATGTTGTCTCTGAAGGCCAGGAATTCCAGTGCTGATCCTGTTACGGGAGATCCTCCATGCATCCAGATAGGACAGATTTTTTTTTTTTTTTTAAATAAAAATATGGAACGCTTCAAGAATTTGTGTGCCCTTCTTGCGCAGGGGCCATGCTAATCTTCTCTGTATCGTTCCAATTTTAGTATATGTGCTGCTGAAGCGAGCACAGGACAGATTTTTTGGAAAACCTTTCAGTAGCTGTTTTCACACAGATTTGTTACTGGCAATTAAAATGAAAAGACTGGATTGGTGGAGATGGAGTCATTCCCAGCATCTCTTGGTGAATCAGAGCTGTGAAGCTTGTTCTGCTTAGAAGTTGGCCCAAGGATTTGGTGGGAGAACTGAATAAATTAGTTTTAATCTAAAAGCCTTGACACTAACAGGATGTAGGGGAAAACATAAGCTTCTAGGACTTAGGAGACCTGTGCAGCCATTTTGGGTGCCTCACTAGCTCTTCCTCTGTTGGAGGTTAGGTGAAATTATTGCCATAACCACCTCAGAAGGCCATTTGAAAATCTTGGCCAGGTGTGGTGGCTCATGCCTGTAATCATAGCACTTTGGGCGGCCTAGGCGGGTGGATCATTTGAGGTCAGGAGTTTGAGACCAGCCTGGCCAACATGGTGAAACGCTGTCTCTACTCAAAATGTAAAAATTAGCTGGGCATGGTGGCACACGCCTGTAATCCCAGCCACTCGGGAGGCTAAGGTGAGAAAATCACTTGGACCCAGGAGGTGAAGGCTGTAGTGAACCAAGTTCATGCCACTGTGTTCCAGCCTGGGCAAAAGAGTGAGACTCCATATTAAAAAAAAAAAAATTGAAAATCTTCATTGGAAATGCTTTGAAAATCTGAAACAACACTAAAAATATATTGTAGTTGTTAATAATACCATCAGGTCAGTTATGGCCAAGTCTATATTGTGCTGTGGTATTATATTTCAGAGTTGAATCTGAATTTAATTTTGTAGCCACAGAAAATAATCTGTAGTTTAGTCTATTTGGAATTCTTTTTTTTTGATTGGTCTAGGTGAAGCCAATTAATCCCAATTCTTCTTTTCTCAGTACTGGTGTGTTTCAGCAGGTACATGTTATAACCTCACTTGTCTATCAGATGAATTGACCCTGGCACTGAGTGACAGATGCCACCACCAAATTGTCCTCAATCCCAATGTTAACCAGCTCTTCTCCTTCTTTTCCAGTCCCACGCCTTTGACATCTCATCCTTCAGTCTCTTTGCTGTAAAGGCAACTTGAACAAGCGTCAGCCCTTTCTCAGACTTCCAGGGCAGGACTTGAATGGATTTGACCCTGGAATTGTTCCTGATGCAGCCTTGTTCAGTTCTTGCTGCTGCCATGCTGGATTCCAAAGATCCACTCTTTCCTCGACTGGTCTCGCAGGGTCAGGCCCATTGGTTAAAGCTTGTTGTGTATTTGGTGGGGAGGTTCAAAATGAAGGAGGGACTCCAGTCCACTTTGGGCATTGGACCTGGAGGCAAAAAATAAGCGTTCAGTCTAAAAGCACTAAGTCCCCATTGTTTGGGCAGCTGTTAATCAGCCACGTTTCTATGAAAATAAGTCCTTTTCATGAGACAATTGTGTGGGAATAGCTAATTCTGGCCTGATGCTGTGCAGTGTGAGGTTAAAAACATGGTAACTTGTCACAACACAATTCTTCTTGTTCTTTTTGCTGTGGGCTGACTCTACATTACTTGCTTTGTTTGCTCTAGAATGGAATCTACTCACCATTTACTAAAATGAAATGCATTTCTTTGGGGAGGCAAAGTCCATTTCACTAGGTCTTGCATCTTAAAGAGAAAGGAGCCCTGCTTCCTCTATGACTAATTATTAGGAATGTCATTTTGCTTATTTAAATACCAATTTCGGTTCTGGGATTGAATATTATATGCAGGGTCTACTATGTGTCTTAGTTTAAAGAAATTTATATGTGTTGTCCACATATTTTGTCCATGTCTTATTCCTTGTAGTACAGATTAATTTTCAAAATAGTTAGCAGTAAGTGAGGTAAGCATCAGAGAGAAAGCTTGGCATAAGTGCACAAGCTTTGTATTCTGACAAATGTGGGTAATATCCTGACCTCAGGCAAGTTATTTAACCTCTAGGCCTTATTTCCTCCTTTGAAAAATGGGAATAATGAAGTTCACTGGACTGTGTTTAGAGGATAATGTATGAAAAATCCCTGGCCTCAGTAATTATGAGTAATCTTCCACCAAAACCATCCTTTGCATTTTTTCTAGAAGTCAGTTCTGAACTCATGATCTCCATAGGGTAGTGTTTCAGGAAGGAGGGGCTGGGGACACCTTTCAGCAGCCCTGGACGCTGTTTCACTTTTGACTAACAAGCTTTATACCACGGACACGGTGTCTCCCCACGTACCTAGATGTCTTTGGTTTTCCTCAAAGATTTGTGTACTCTTAGCCACTAAGCAGCTGAAGAACAGGCTAGATCTTCTCTGATAAGAGTTTGGGCCTAATGTCTTACTTTGGAATTTGCTACTCCATTTCTTCACAGCAGTTTGACTAATAGAAATCCAGTATTGGGGAAGCCATTTGTTCAAATCCCTTGGCCTGCCTGCTCTTAAAGGATAGGCTCCTCAGAGATTTTATAAGCACCTTGCTTAATTTACAGTTACAGGATGGTGTATACCGTGTAGCCGATTTCAGTTGGTCCTTTACATCTTGTGATTGGGGGATCTTTCTTGGAGATTTATAATAGCAGATGGCTTCTTTACATCATTGTGACAGTTGGTATAGACATTTACCCAAGCAGATTTATATCCATCACATTTCAGATCTGTCAGCATTTAGAGGTCATTCCCATTTTCCTTCTCCTTTCTTCTAGCAGCCTTTTCATATTAGTAGGGCTTGCCAGGACAGTGATGGACAGAGAGGATCACCTCAATAAAAGGAGGGCAGCTTTGCCAGTTTGTAGTTTAAAATACGTAAGTAAATCACAAATCTCCCTAATGCAGATATCCATAGACTCAAGCTGTAAATTGCTATACCATCACCACCGTATAAGAACTATGACTTTTGTCCCCACTTCAGGCAACCCTGAACTAGGTTCTTTTTTGCATGTGAACAACAGGAAAAGAAAGACGCTTCCTTATAACAAAAATGATCAGACATTTAGTTATGTTGCAGTAATCATTTCAGTAAAGAATTACCTTTATCATTTAAGTTGTGGAGTGGAATGATTTTGAGTATCCCAATAGAGGTTACTAGTTCTTTTAAAACATTGTCGGTCATGTCCGATTTTCTTCTAGGTATTTGCTCAGGAATATAATTCCCAATTATATAACATTGTTCCTTTAGGAAAGCACACTTTGTCTAATGGCACAGTTTCAAAAAATAGATCTTAGAGGTAGGGAAAAAAATTCTATAACCCAGTTGCTGAATATATAAGGTACTGGAGGGAGCGCAAAGGGTGCAGCAAGTACCCACATAGATGTGATGGGCAGAGGGAACACCATTGGATGGGTGCTCCTTATAGTATGGCACTGGCAGCCTGTACCTCATATGTCCCTGTCATCCATGGTCTTAGTCTCTGCTGTCACTCAGCTCTGTTCCTATCTGAAACACCAACATGCTATGCTTTTAACTCTTGCCACCTACCTTTGCTCTGCTTGTCCTTCAGTGACAAATGCATGAGGCACTTTTCAGGAGATGAAATAATTAAAACTCTTGAGGATGTGACTCATTTCACATTGAGAAATCAGTTGCCCTTGAATGGAGTAACCACTTTTCCCCTAAGTTTGCAAAAGAGGCTGCGGTTGTGACATGGTGGAAGGAAACAGAAAAATTCCTTTCCATGAGGGAATGTCTAAATTCATGTGTCCTGTGGGAGGAGGACTACAGGCAGAAATAGCGAGGTGAGGCAGGAACATGAGAGGGATTTTCTTGATTTAGTTTGAATATCTAAGTGACAAAAAGGAGCATCTGAAGAACTTAGATTCTTTCATTAGCACCTCCTTTTGGTCCATTGGCCTATTGAACAAATCTATAAATTCCTTCAAGTATCACACTGTTTTCAGCTCAGTGTGCTGAGGGCTCTAGACCAAAGATGACTCCGTAAGATTACAGAGGTTATTCCCTATGTGCAGTAACATCATTCTCATTCTCTTTCATTTTCAGGGAAGCAGAGACTTTCAAGGAGCAAGGAAATGCATACTATGCCAAGAAAGATTACAATGAAGCTTATAATTATTATACAAAAGCCATAGGTGAGAAAGTCCTGATACTCTTGCTAGAAAACACTTACTTGCCGAATATTATTAAAAGCTGCCATTTGTGGTGGCTCATGCCTGTAATCCCAGCACTTTGAGAGGCTGAGGCAGGTTAACCACCTGAGGTCATTAGTTCAAGACCAGCCTGGGCAACAAAACAAGACTTCATCTCAAAAAGATAAAAAACGTTGTCTCATGCCTGTAATCCCAACACCTTGGGAGGCCTAGGCGGGTGGATCATCTGAGGTCAGGATTTTGAGACCAGCCTGGCCAACATGGCGAAACCCTGTCTCTACAAAAATTAGCTGGATGTGGTGGTGGATACCTGTAACCCAGCTACTTAGGAGGCTGAGTCAGGGAGAATCACTTTAACCCAGGAAGTGGAGGTTGCAGTGAGCTGAGATCATGCCATTGCACTCCATCCTGGGTGATAAAGCAAAACTGTCTCAAAAAAAAAAAAAAAGAAAAGGCCAGGTGCAGTAGTAGCTCATACCTATTATCCCAGTACTTTTGAGAGGCCAAGGTGGGCAGATCACCGAAAGACAGGAGTTCAAGACCAGCCTGGCTAACACAGTAAAACCTCATCTCTACCAAAAATACAGAAATTAGCTGGGCCTAGTGGCGTGTGCTTGTAATCTTAGCTACTAAGGAGGATGGGGCAGGAGAATCGCTTGAACCCAGGAGGCAGAGGTTGCAGTGAGCTGAGATCACGCCATTGCACTCCAGCCTGGGCGACAAGAGTAAAAAACTCCATCTCAAAAATTAAATTAAATTAAATTAAAAAATAAAAGTAGCTTCTCTCTGAGAAGTAGCTTTTTGCTTAGTAGATTAATGACTGTTATTGTGTGAACTCCTGAAGGAGTTGTGGCAGCATGTGCCTGCCACACATAAAAACTTTTTTCTTTTTCTTTTTTTTTTTTTTAAAAACTTTAAAAATTTTTAAAAATAAGCCGGGCGCGGTGGCTCAAGCCTGTAATCCCAGCACTTTGGGAGGCCGAGGCGGGTGGATCACGAGGTCAAGAGATCGAGACCATCCTGGTCAACATGGTGAAACCCCGTCTCTACTAAAAATACAAAAACATTAGCTGGGCATGGTGGCGCGTGCCTGTAATCCCAGCTACTGAGGAGGTTGAGGCAGGAGAATTGCCTGAACCCAGGAGGCGGAGGTTGCAGTGAGCCGAGATCACGCCATTGCACTCCAGCCTGGGTAACAAGAGTGAAACTCCGTCTCAAAAAAAAAAAGAAAAAAAAAAAATTTTTTTTTAAATAGAGAGAGGGTCTTACTGTGTTGCCCTAGCTGCTCAAACTCCTGGGCTCAAGTGATCCTCCTACCTTGGCCTCCCAAAGTGCTGGAATTACAGGCATGAGCCACCGCGCCCAGCTATGATAACTTCTTCTAACTGGGGTGGGTAATTTTTCTTTTGACAAATTACAGGCAATTCCAGAAATATTGAATGTTATGTCAAAATAATACCTACCTAAATGCATTTCAGTCATTGCCAATTCATTTACTACCTTAGAGAATGGCCTTTGTACATAAAAATGTCTTAGTTATCTCCATGCTTAATTTACCAGCATACTTTAATCCTATGTCATCATTCTTCTCACCTAATTTGTTTACCCCAACTCAACATGCACATTTCATTTTAATATCTCATTATACAAAACATAGTTCATTAAGATTAATAAGCTGCCCCGCCCCTCAAAAGATAATCATTGCACTTTAAAGCTGTATCTTATTTTGTTTTAAAACTGATTATATCGGCCGGGTGCGGTGGCTCAAGCCTGTAATCCCAGCACTTTGGGAGGCCGAGGCGGGTGGATCACGAGGTCAGGAGATCGAGACCATCCTGGTCAACATGGTGAAACCCCGTTTCTACTAAAAATACAAAAAAAACATTAGCTGGGCATGGTGGCGCGTGCCTGTAATCCCAGTTACTCAGGAGGTTGAGGCAGGAGAATTGCCTGAACCCAAGAGGTGGAGGTTGCGGTGAGCCGAGATCACGCCATTGCACTCCAGCCTGGGTAACAAGAGTGAAACTCCGTCTCAAAAAAAAAAAAAAAAAAAAAAAAAAAACGGATTATATCATTGCTTCTGTCCATTTGCACAGGCAGTCAGAAATTTGGCTATAGCCTTTTATTTATTTATTTTTGAGACAGTGTCATTGTTACCAAGACTGGAGTGTAGTGGCACAATCTTGGCCCAGTTTCAAGTGATTCTCATGCCTTAGCCACCTAAGTAGCTGGGATTACAGGTGTGTGCCATCATGCCTGGCTAATTGTTTTGTATTTTGGTGGAGAGTTTTGCCATGTTGGCCAGGCTGGTCTCGAACTCCTGGCCTCAAGTGATCTGCCCATCTCAGCCTTGGTCTCCCAAAGTCTTAAGATTGCAGGTGTGAGCCACCGTGCTGGCTATGGTCCCTTTTTTTTTTTTTTTTTTTTTGAGATGGAGTCTTGCTCTGTCTCCCAGGCTGGAGATCTCAGCTCACTGCAACCTCCGCTCCCACATTCAAGCAATTTTCCTGCCTCAGCCTCCTGAGTAGCTAGCACTACAGTTGTGTGCCACCACTCTCGGCTAATTTTTTGTGTTTTTAGTAGAGACAGGGTTTCACTGTGTTAGCCAGGATAGTCTCAATCTTCTGACCTCGTGATCTGCTCACCTCAGCCTTCCAAAGTAGTGGGATTACAGGCATGAGCCGCTGCACCTGGCTGGCCGTGGCCTTCCAAAGGGAGCATGTCAGGGTTGGGTGCAGTGGCTCATGCCTGTAATCCCAACACTTTGGGAGGCTAAGGCAGATAGATCACTTGAGGCCAGGAGTTCAAGATCAGCCTGGCCAACATGGCAAAACTTCACCTCAACAAAAAGTACAAAAATTACCTGGTCATGGCGGCATGTGCCTGTGGTCCCAGCTACTTGGGAAGCTGAGGTAGGAAGATGGCTTGAGCCCAGGAGGCGGAAGATACAGTGAGCAGAGATCATGCCACTGCACTCCAGCCTGGGCAACAGAGCCAGACTCTGCCTCAAAAATAAATAAATAAAAATAGAAAAATTACCCAGGTGTGGTGGCGCATGCCTGTAATCCCAGCTACTTGGCTACTCGGGAGGCTAAAGCAGGAGAATCACTTGAACCTGGGAGGCAGAGGTTACAGTGAGCCAAGACTGCACCACTGTAACCTCACTGCACTCTAGCCTGTGCGGCAGAGTGAGACCCTGTCACACACACACAAAAAAACCATCTCCACGAGAAAAAATAGTTTGTCAGCATTACAGATTGACTCCCTTAACGTTGTTTGGAGGGAGATGCCCTCTACTTTTTTTTTTCTTTTGAAACAGAGTCTTCCTGTGTCACTCAGGCTGGAGTGCAATGATAACGCTCTTGGATCACTGCAACCTACACCTCCCAGATTCAAGCAATTCTCATGCTTCAGCCTCCCGAGTAGCTGGAATTACAGGTGCCCACCAGCATGCCCAGCTAATTTTTTAATTTATTTTAGTAGAGACAGGGTTTCACCATGTTGGCCAGGCTGGTCTCAAACTCCTGACCTCAAGTGATCCTCCCCTCTCAGCCTTCCAAAGTGCTGGGATTATAGGCATGAGCCACTGTGCCCGGCCCCCTCTAAGTTTTCAAAGCCAGGGACCTGTTCTAAACTTTGTTTTATATTCTGCTGCCTTTCCTCTAGATATGTGTCCTAAAAATGCTAGCTATTATGGTAATCGAGCAGCCACCTTGATGATGCTTGGAAGGTTCCGGGAAGCCCTTGGAGATGCACAACAGTCAGTGAGGTTGGATGACAGTTTTGTCCGGGTATGTATGTAATGGGACTGTTTGGGGAAGGCTGGGTTGCTGCAGTTGAGTTTCTCTAACCCAGTGTTTCTCAGACCTGACAATACTGACATTTGGGACCGGATTATTCTTTGTTGTGGGGGACTTTGCTGTGCATTACAGATTGTTGAGCGGCATCTCTGGCTTTTAATCACTAAGTATGAGTAGCACCCTCTCTGCCCAATTGTAACAACCAAAAATGTCTCCTAACATTGCTAAATGTCCCCTGGAGGGCAAATTGCCCAGGTTGAGAACTACTGCTCTAGTCATTTTCATTCTGTGTTTGTTTGTTTGTTTGTGACGGTGTCTTGCTCTGTCGCCCAGGTTGGAGTGCAGTGGCGTGATCTCAGCTCACTGTAACCTCTGCCTCCCAGGTACAAGCAATTCTCCTGCCTCAGCCTTCTTAGTAGCTGGGACTACAGGCATATGTCACCACGCCTGGCTAATTTTTGTATTTTTAGCAGAGATGGAGGTTCACCATGTTGGCCAGGCTAGCCATGAACTCCTGACTTCAAATGATTCACCCGCCTCAGCCTCCCAAAGTGCTAGGATTACAGGCGTTGAGCCACTGCACACAGCCTCTGTGTTGGTTTTCTGTGGGTGTTTGTTGCTGCTCTTGGTTTCTTTCCACTTGGCCAGTCATGCTCCTTTTCTTCCCTCTTTGTGTTCTAGGGACATCTACGAGAAGGCAAGTGCCACCTCTCTCTAGGGAATGCCATGGCAGCATGTCGCAGTTTCCAGAGAGCCCTAGAACTGGATCATAAAAATGCTCAGGCCCAGCAAGAGGTACGGGTCTGATCCTGTTTCTATCAAAAGAAGCAGTGTGGTATATGTGGGAGGAGTGGCTACTTGAAAGTCAGTACTGAGGTCTAGTCTCACTTCTGCCATCAGCACACCTGGGTGACTTTAGGCGAATTTCACAGTCTCTTTAAGCATCAGCTTCCTAATCTGTAAAATGGTTTTGAATAGGATTGACAGCTTTTTTTTTCTTTTTCATTTAAGTTTACTGCTTAAAGACAGCTTTTAAAAATCTGTGAAAATGGAAGCATTTCTGATGGCTGAGGAATAAGTAAATGCTTCCAGGGACCGATTTGAATGAGGTTAAAGAATTTTTGAAGGGCCAGGCGCGGTGGCTCAAGCCTGTAATCCCAGCACTTTGGGAGGCCGAGACGGGTGGATCACGAGGTCAAGAGATCGAGACCATCCTGATCAACATGGTGAAACCCCGTCTCTACTAAAAATACAAAAATTAGCTGGGATTACAGGCACGCGCCACCATGCCCAGCTAATTTTTGTATTTTTAGTAGAGACGGGGT